GGATCTGCAAGCATCTGGACTCAAGGTTAGAGGAGCAGAGCTATCTTGCCACAATAAAGCCATCTCCTTACCCCATAATCATTAGGTGGAATCAGAGTGCCAGTGGTTGAACGTGATCACAATGAGCCTCTTTTCTGGAGCCTTCCCCAGCCCTTTACAGACATAATCTAGCCAGGACAAGGAATGTTGGAATCTCTTGAAGTCCTGTAGTCTGTATCAGAGAATTACTCTGTGTGATTCTCTTGGCTCCCAACCCATTCTATCTCACAGACAAGAAAACAGACCTGAAGTGACTGGGCTGTTACCACAGGGCTCTGTGTCTCAGGAACTTGGACACCAATAATGTTCTCAAGTCATAGGTTACTCCTTTCTGTGTGATCAGTAATTCTTTCCATTCCCACTGCCCCTGCTTGGTTCAGTGCTTGTCACCCTTGACTAATCTTAGTGTGTTTCTCTATGAGATTGCCTTCCTCCTTGATCTGGTCGCTCCTGTCTTAAATCAGATGTGCTCATTCCATGCCTTCAGAGAACTTCCTCAGGGTCCTGGTCATTGCTCAGGCCTGTGGTGTGACCCAGGCCTTTCTGTCTGTCCTCTGTGTGTTTCAGGACCTCTCTCTCACCTGCCTAGCCCTTCGATCTTCCTGAATTTGCCACTCCTGCCTGGTGTCTTTCTCCTTAATTCCGCCACCTGCTGTAATTTCCCCACCCCTCCTTCCCCTGTGTAGCAAAGCCTGATCAGCTGAGGCCACTCAGCATTAGCTGAGGCTTCTTCCCAAGGTACAGAGTAGTACAGCACTAGGAGTTACTACTCCCCCCCACACACACTTTTAGAAAGCTTGAAACAGATAATGTCTTTATGTCCCTGTTGCCTGGCTCTTAAAATACACTTGCTAATTCAAAATTGTCTATGACTGCTGAAGTACCAGTATCAGATAGAAAGAGCAGAGCCAGACCATAATGGAGGGCTCAGTCAAGGCTGGTCTTCAAGGAAGTGGGCTTTGTGTGAGAAATGAGGTGGAAGTCACACCTGAGGGGAAGAACACTATGAAAGCTGATGCAGGAAGAAATTTAGGAGGTGTGGAAAGGGTGGTGAAGGCACCAGCCTGACTGCACAGAGAGGCCATGTGAGATGGGAAAGGTCAGTCCCTTCCCCCTCACAGGCTTGGGTTTGTATCCCCGTTTGTGCTGCTCTCATGTGCCTCAGCCGAAGATGCTGCTTCCTGGGTGCCAGCACCATGGCGTCATACTGTCCACTTTAGAAGGTTGTGAGAGTGGAAGGTGGGGACCACTAAGCTGTGCCCTGTAGTATCTGGCATGTCACAGGCTCGTTATTGCTACCAGAAGTTCTAGTCGGTTATATGGTCAGTGAGGAGCCATTTATCAAATAGAATTTTCTTTGCAGAATGAATAGTTGAAATGTTAGAACTCTGTGTGCTAAGATTTGTGGTTCTTCTCCATTAATCTAGTAGTGTCTATGCGTTGGGCTCATTGCTTAATTTATGAAAGAAAACTTACAGTATTTGTTCAGTTGTTTACTTTGGGAGCTGAATAAGATTGATGAGTCTCTGAAATGCCTTGAGTTCTTGGCAGGGAAGTACCACATAAGTGTGGATATCATTACCTGAACACTTACTTTTTACCTCTGAAACCTAAGGGAAAAGTCAACTGTTAATTCTGCACTGATAGAATTGGTCTTCTCCTTGCTTTATTTTTAAATTCATTATTCTTGGTCTTTTGATCTGTGCTGTGATGAATGTGAATCCTCCATCCTGTTTGACCTGGAAAACTTTCCAAAAGGAGATCCTTTACCATAATGATAAATTAGGTGAAACCTGTGGGGGTTTCTTAAAAGCTTATTATAACAGTGTTGAAAGAGGAAGCTACTCTGTACTGACAGTTCAGGCCACAGCTAGAGCAAGTCATTTCTTGAGAGATGAAACCATTTCTCAGAAAATGTACAGTTGGAGGGGGGGAGTCAAAAGCACTCTTCCTCAGAAGTGGGCTTCATTCATATCTGACCATCATATAAACTAAAGCTCTGTTGGGTTTTGAGCTTCTTCATTAACTCAGTGACAAACCTGATTCAGAGCAGGTAATGCCTTGGAGAAAACTGTCTATGGTGGTGTCGTTAGGTGTTGAGAAGTAAGAGTTCCTGTGGAAGAGTGGTTTTGTTGCTTTTTTCATGCAGTACAGTTGGTGTGTTTTCATTTATCTCCCTTTTTTGGATCCGTTAAAAGATAGGGAAGAACAATAATAGAAAGTACTTTTGCCTTAAAAAGTATGGTATGCCAGAGATAAGTTAGTGTTTTTTGGTATTTGGGGCATTTCACATGCTTCATGTGTTGTACTTAACATTTGTAACTGAGCATAGGCCTGCCTGGGTCTGGTGCAAGAAATGGAACCATTTAAAGTACTATTGACTTTGGGACTTATATATAGCCCAAAGATTATAGGACTCTCATTTTTATCATCTCATTTTCAGAGGTTCCTGGGCAGAATAAATTATGGAAGAGGAGAAAACATGTAATTTCTGATTTTATTCCTAATTCAGAAGTCAGAAGTTTAGTTTGGAAAGAACAGTTCACGGATAGTAATGGGGCAGGGAAAGGAGGCATTGAAATCCAGGTGGCTGGAGGACCTGTGTCTGCCCTCAAGATGCTTCGCACTGAACCAGTATATTAAGCAAGTCTTGGTTGGTAAAGACGCAGTTTCCTTCTTTATCTTTGCTGAAGAATATAAAGTCACAGTTTCTCATAAAATAGCTTTAACAATTTCACTTCCTGAAATGTGTATATTTAGTATCTTTTTATATAGCTATTTTAAGGTGATGTATTTTAATTATTACCAGAAACACTCATGCTTTTTCCTTTTGGAGTCTCTTCTGAGTCAAAAGTWTTATGTTTTATTTTTATTAATCTTTTTTAATAGGAGAACTAAAATTAATACTTAGTGGTGTAGCTGTGTGTTTGAGAGGTTAGTTTTAATCAATCCTGAGAAGAAAATATAGTTTCAGCCACAATTTGTAGGCAATTCTAAATAGCTATAGAGTTTTCCCAAGAATTACTTTTGTTTTTTATTGTCACCTACCAGCAAAATTTAAAAAAAAATATTTTATTTTATTTCCCCCTGAGAGAAGTTCGTGTCCTTTGCTTTTAATGTTAGACAGGAAGCCAGGCCTTGCCTGTGCCTAGGCTCTGCAGAACTCTAGTGGCTTTCCGGTAGCACCCTTTGCCTCCTGGCTCCAAAGAGTGGACCTGTGCTTTTAGCCAGGTTTGTGATTACTATGTTGATAAAGTTTGGGAGTAACAAATATTATATAGATGTTAAAGATTGGGGGGAAATCACAGTGAATTTGAATACATAGACCCAAGGGAGGGGTGTTCTACTGCCCACACAGCATGCCTTCTACCCAGCTGTGTGAGGTGTAGAAGGGTACCATGTTGGATAACCAGATTCCTCGTGCCCTGGGAAGCTGACCTTCCCGGTTGCAGGTTGGCTAGAAGGTCGTTTTTCATTGTGAAATGGATGAGTAGTAGCCTTGGGGTTTGTGTTCTTTCTGTGATTGCAACATGAGGAAATACATTCCTTTGGCATAGTATCTTAGGACACTTGAATTTTTAGGACTGTGTAGCTTTCTAAAAGAATGCATTATTTTGTTGATATGTCTGTTATCTAGGAGATCTATGGTCTTTTTTTTGTTCTTTGAGTAGCTGATCTTTTTACTATCTTGTACAACATAACAGTTAAAGGGTGATGAAACTGTTAAAAAAAAAAAAAGAGAGACTGTACCGTTAAAAAAAAAAAAAGAAGAAGAAGTGCTTGCTGACATCATCTTTCCGAGAACACTAGTATATGTGATTTACTATAACAAGATCTTAGTTTTTCCTGTTGGCAAATGACATGTAATATTTACAGAGGTCTTGGGTTCATTCCAGCAGAAACATCTCAGATAAATTGATGTGTGAATCTGAAGCCATCTAACATTTTCTTTCGTATGGAGATGATAGAGACAGGTTTTAGTTTAAATGTGGAGAGAGAGTCAATGTTCAGTGCACACTTCCTTGAGGGGAAATGTAGACTGTAGACTATGCTCCAGGGTCAAATGTGCAATGTGCCTTTAGTCCATACCTTGGTTCTGTGCTTCTGACATTTGTGTTTAGGGCTCTCAGTTCACATTCACCTTGGTGTGACATGCTTCTTCTCATTTCATGCTTTTCTTCCTTTCTCTAAATGATACAAGGTCAAGTCTTATATTTCAAATATTTAAATTTTAAATCTATGAGATTTTTACTTTTAAAAACTATAAATGTGGGCTGGGGTTGTGGCTCAGTGGCAGAGCACTTGCCTAGCATGTGTGAGRCACTGGGTTCGATTCTCAGCACCACATATAAATAAATAAAGGTCCATTGACAACTAAAAAATTTTAAAAAAAAGCAAACTAGAAATGTATACAAATGGTTAACAGTCTTAAATAATAAAGCATTTTCAGTGGTCTTTAAAAAATACAGTTAAAGTATTCCAGTTTTTAGCACTCCACCTAAACATAGTTAAGTGTTAAAAATCTTAAATACAATTGAGTATGTATCTGTTAAGAAATGAAGAAAATGAAACCTGGTATCATCTGTTTGAGACCAGTTACCTTTTTGTAGGTAGACCAGTCCCTCCTTAGGCCCCCAGAATCTAAACAAACCTTTACTTCTAGGAAGGTAAGTTCTTTGTTTGTTCTACTGTGTTTCACGCTTCAGTTAATTTTTCAAGTTACAAAGGTTCACATACTACAAACACACACTTTTCTTCTAATGCTGTAGTAGCAAACAAGATGTTTTGTACTTCCTTACAAAAAAAAGAGAATAATTTAGGACTTGGCTCAACTCTTCTATGGAGCTAATTTATTTTTTCTTTGTTTTATTCTTTATGAATACCTTAGAGCATAAATTTTAAGACCAAAAAAGAATCGATGAATTTGAAATGACAGTTATGGTTTATCACTTTGTTTTCAGATGATCACAGTCGTGTTAAACTGCAGAATGCAGAGAATGATTACATCAACGCCAGCTTGGTTGACATGGGAGAGGCACGGAGGAGTTACGTCCTGACACAGGCAAGTCGTGTGGCTCGCAGAAAAGCAGAGTTGGAGCTTGTGGCTCTACTTCAGCTTGGCCAAAAGTGTAGCTTGACTTCCTTTGTGAAGTTGTGTTTAATGTTAATATGTCTATGAAAGAAAATTTCTATGCAGTGGCTTAGACTTACCGTCCTCTGCAGGCACACTGTCTTCCCTGCCTTCTCTCTGACCCAGGCTTCTGCTGCTACTTACTGTGGGTTTCCAGTTCTCTTCACCTGGAAAGCGTAGCCAGAGGCCCCTGCAAGCTCTTCGCTCTCACCTTCAGAATGTACTCGTGCCTTGGGTGGTGTTGGCGCTCTCCAGTGCAGAGGCCAGGTGCCCCAGAGTCCAGGCCAGGGTGCCCTCGGGCTCCCCATGGCATTCCATCCCACAGCTTGAGGCCTGGGCCACACCCATGCACCCATGATTTGTTTGTCCACACCAGCTGCTCTTTATCAAATAATGGAGACTAAATTAACCACCTTATCATTCTCCCAGTTACAGATTTTTAAGTATTCAGAAGATAAGCCATAATATTGCAGAATTTTAAAATCCTAACCTGGATCAGAATGACCTGTCATTTGAAAAACATTTGATGTAGTTAAAAAAAAAAAAAGTATTTCAGATTAATATAACTGTGAACTATTAGACTATTTCTAATTCACAGGAAACTAAAATCAGTTTACTTGAGATGAAGAAGCTCCTATAAATCAAAAAGAAATAATCTGTAAGAAAAAAAACTGTCAAAGAACRTGAAGTCACAGTTCTAAAAACAAAATAGGGTAGCATATCTATGAGAAGATACTTCATTTGGAAAGTATTTATGGAATGCAAATCTAAACCAGTAATCAGCTACCACTTTTTACCTGTTGGGACAGCAGAGATTTACACAGTGTAAAATACTCAGTGGCTGCATACCCTGATTGAGAAAGACTCCTGAGTAGTACCAACAAGACATGAAGATACAGCTGCATGTGTTGATTGCAACTTATTTTCAGAGCATAGGGCTAAATGGGTTAAATAGATTCATCACATACACACCAATAGAGGTGGATATTTCTGGGTACTGGGAATAAGACATTCATTTGCCACATTCAGCCTTTGTGTAATAGTTGAAGTTTTTCTTATGTACTTTCATGAAGTGTTTTTTTTTTTTAATTTTTTTTTAGTTGGACACAATATCTTTATTTTATTTATTTATTTTTATGTGGTGCTGAGGATCAAACCCAGGTCTCGCACATGCTAGGCGAGTGCTTTACCACTGAGCCACAATCCCAGCCCCATGAAGTTTTTTAATAAAGAAGTATTTTAGCTAAAATATTTACTTTAACTGGATGTGGTGGCACACACCTGTAATCCCAGTGACTTAGGAGGCTTAGACAGGATGATCCTAATTTCAAAGCCAGCCTCAGCAACTTAGAGAGGCCCTTTCTCAAAATAAAACATAAAAGGGGTTGGGAATGTGGCTCAGTGCCACCCCTGGGTTCAATCCCAGGTACTTTCTACTTACGACAAAAGTAACATGAAAAAAGAGAAAAGAATGGTTACCCATGACCCTAATCACAACCCTTTCTTCCTCTCTACCATTTATTGGTTCTTTCTCAGTCCTTAAAATGGATCTTTTCTTCAGTTTCTAACTTAGTTTTTTCTCCTCCAAGTTCACTTCAGCTCTTGGGACCATGGTTTTCATCCTCTGAAACCCAAGACAGGGTACTCTGTCCCCCAGTATCTGCTGAGATCCTGGTGCCAATACCTCATTGTTCATTCATCCAGCAGATTTAGTGAGACCTACTCTGTGGCAGACCTTGTTTGAGTAAAAGAGACTTTACTGAAAACTCTTGTCATTATGAACTTTATATTCTAGTAAAGTGAAAATAATACCAGTTAAAATAATTTTGTAACATTGTTCCTTATTTTACATGCCTTATTTTACAGGACAACTTTCTATGGTAAATACTGTTGTCTTTTCTTTTTAGTTGTTAATGGTTCTATTATTTATTTATTTGCGGCGTTGAGGATCGAACCCAGTTCCTCACACATGCTAGGTAAGTGCTCTATCACTGAACCACAGCCCCAGCCCAGTCCTTATACTTATAGAGCAGAAATCCAAAGAGACTCAAGAACATTAAGTTTACCAAGGTTGTACAGCACAGTAGGTCCTGCTCTTAGTCATTCTACCCTGTTGCCTTAAGATTGCTGTGTGAGGGGCTGGGGTTGTGGCTCAGTGGTAGAGCACTTGCCTAGCAATAAATAAAATAAAGGTCCATTGACAACAAAATATTAAAAAATAAAAATAATAAAAGATTGCTGTGCGAGGCCAGGTGCAATAGCGCATGCCTGTAATCCCAGTGGCTCCAGAGGCTGAGGTAGGAGGATCACGAGTTCAAAGCCAGCTTCAGCAATTTATTGAGGCCCTGACTCTTAAAAAAAAAAAAATGCAGTGTTACCATGGACAAGTGCCTTCCCTCCCCAGGCCTCTTCGTCTGTACAGGGTGTGGTGAGACTCTGCAGTGCTTGGCACTGGTAGATGCTCCAGGTGTTACTTGTCGAGTTGTTGCTTCTTGTCAGTTGTAGTAACTGTAGTAATAGTGACCCTTCTGTAAGCATTTGGAAGCCCATTCCACTACCCCATTGGTTAGTTGTAGACTTTGTGACCCCCCAGATAGAGCCCACTCATCAAGAGTGTGATAACTTAGAAGCCTGTCTCCAGCTTTTTCTTCTTTCCTGGATTCCTCCCCGCGTTGTCCAGGCTGTGCTGGATGTGATTGGCTAGATCACAGATTCTGCATGTTCTGTATCTCTTCTTCCTGTAGCCCCACTGTGGTTTCCTTTCTAGTCGTCTTCTTCCCTCAGACCTGATAGTCTGCCTTTCCCCTTGTGGCCCTTGACGCTAGTCCTCTCTGCACACTCCTTCCTGGAAGGCTGAGATTGCACCTCCTTATGCTTTTGCCCTGGTACCCTGCACATTATATGAAACAAAGTACTACTCAGAAAACAATTGACACGGTAGAGAACATCAAATGTTCACTACTTCCACTGTTCTGATTGTTCTTTGTGATTGTTAATTGAATCATTTCTCTCTCAGTTTTATTAGCAGTAGTTTTTTAGAAATCAGCCCCTTGGTATATTAAGTCTACTTTTCAGATTTAAAAGAGTAGTAGCGTTCTGAGTACATGGGAGAGCTGAGAGATAAATTTGTCTCTGCAATTAAAAAAGCTTGGTCTTAATTCAGTCACAACTGTTTCCCTGTTTATTATTTAATCTTCAGAGGCACTAATGGAGTTGGGGTGTATGTGCACACTAAGGGATGACCTCACTAGTGAATTGCTTTGTGTTTTTCTTCAAACTGGGGGTTTTCTWATTGCTTTTTGTTACCTTTAGGCTGTATTTTTTGTTTTGCTTTAGAAGTAAAGCAACAGATACATACCTTGAGTGAGAAGAGTACCCTTAAACATAAGATCACAGTTTCTTGGGCTGGGTTGTGGCTCAATGGTAGAGCACTCGCCTCGCATGTGTGAGGCACTGGGTTCAATCCTCAGCACCACATAAAAATAAATAAATAAAATAAAGGTATTGTGACCATCTACAAATAAAAAAAATTTTTTTWAAATTATAGTTTCTCATAATTTTTTTTTGTTTTTTAAAACAAGATTTAGGATGGTTTATTATAGAGCAAAATCTAAATGTTAGATAACTTTTTTTATTATTATTATTGGTATTTTTTTTATTTTTTTTATTGGTTGTTCAAAACATTTTACAGTTAACAATAGAGTTTCCTTACTTAGGCAATAATTATTGAGCATTTGCTACATGCCTAGGAATATTCCTGCTCTAATGATGCTTTCAGCGTAGAGCCATTTGAATCCCTTTACTACATGTGGGACTGCAGCTCTGGGCAGCCTTGGCCCCCAGTGTCCTACTTCTACCTCTGTTCCTACCCCTAACTCTCACCACTGTACTATACTACCCTGTGAATCGATTACACGTTAAGTTATGTGGAGTACAATAAAACCCATTTATTTGAATGTTCACCCATTTGAAATTAATTAGGCTGTGTTGCAGCACAGTGGAGGAGTGTTAACTTGGCCCTGGGATCCATCTCTGCCTTGACAAAAAATCAACAATTTATGATTTGGGCATTGCCTTTTCATCTGTTACTTGTCTTTCCTTTTGCCCTATAGCATCATTAAGTAAAAGGGAAAGGTAATTAGAAATACATATGATTTTTCTCCCCCAGTGTCATTATTACAGTATGGACTATTGCTCCTTTTAACTCTCCCAAATACTTTGCCATTGAAGCTGAACATATTGTGCTTTTGTAGATTGATAGTTTCAGAGTGATTTGCATATGTACATGATTTCCACTTTGTAGGGGGGGATTCTTTTGTAATTGACTTGGGCTGATTGGCTAGCCTCTTGCTCTCAGATATTTCCTTTGCCTCCAGCCTTTGCAGCTAGAACCTGAGCAGTCAGATGGTCTCAGTCATGATTTTGTCTCTGGTTCGCATATAGATTATGCTTGAATACTACAGCCACCTTTGTTTAGCTTTGGCAGCAAAAGCCAGGTGATAATCCTATATCAGGAGCAGTATCTCACTTTGGGTCTCTTGGGGCAGATGATTGTGCTTTAACTCATTAGTCTCTAGCCCTCAACTCTGAAAACCACTTGGTATCCTAAACAAAGTTTTTTCCTGTTTTACTTAAGTAAATGAAAAATTTTGATCATTTGTGCCCCAAATCGTAACTAGCACAGACTGGTTTTTTAATTCAAGTGGATTTAGAATTTAAATGTATTTACTAGGACCCAACCCCATTGGCTAAACTCAAGGCACACCAGAAGTACCTTTGAGGGAGCTTGGCCTGGATGGAGACTTGTTCTTTTCTGGTCCCCTTTCCTGATCTGCTCTCTCTCTGTCCTTACAGGGTCCACTTCCCAACACATGCTGCCACTTCTGGCTCATGGTTTGGCAGCAGAAGTCCAAAGCAGTTGTCATGCTGAACCGAATTGTGGAGAAAGAATCGGTGAGTGAGTCTTTCAATTGAGTATACTGCATATGATCTTTAGCTTATAAAGGTTTTCATGGAGGGTATTCATTAGTTTGGGCTTTAGTTGCTAAAGGCTGGTGATCATGATGTTTCTGACCAGAAGTAATGTATCCCCTTTTTTCCTTCCTTCCTTCCTTCCTTCCTTCCTTCCTTCCTTCCTTCCTTCCAATATTTATTTTTTAGTTGTAGTTGGACACAATACCTTTGTCTTGTTTTGTTTTGTTTTAGTTGAACACAATATCTTTATTTTATTTATTTATGTTTATACAGTGCTGAGGATCAAACCCAGGGCCTCACACTTGCTAGGCGAGCACTCTACCATTGAGCCCCAGCCCCAGCCCCAGCCCTTCCTTTTCTTTTCTTACCTTAAATATTTATGAAACAATTGGTGACCTTTGATCTCTGAGATATAAATGTAATGGAACAAATACTGAACTGGTGGTGATAATGGAGCTCTTTGGAATCCCTAGGCTTTGTTAGAATTTTCATGATATTATTAAAATCTTGGAAGTTTTCAAAAGGATTAAAATGATGGTCTTTTGATCTTTATAATTTATAATTGACTTAGGTCATAATAAAAGTGGGCAAATATAAACTTATTGAAATTTCAGATTGCGGTTTAAGCATAGTGCCAGTGAGTGGTAGACTTTAAGGCTTCTGACTTCTGTAGCTTTAGATTACATTCCCATCAGACAAGCAAATTGGGACTTGTTATCAACTAAAGACTCTCCCAGTTTTAAGATTTTGTATTGTTCTACTTCTTCAGATACCTGATGCCTACTTTTTCCTAAATTCATAGGTACTGGTTTTCAGTAATAGTATGATTTTCATTTGTTTTTACTCTGAAGTGGCACTGACAAACCAGGATTTCCAGTAGTGTCAGCATCACCCTTTATAATGGTCTTTCATGTCTCCAAACTCATTTAGAAATTAAGTGATGGTGACATTGTTAGTTTGAACAGCATTGCAAACTAGATGATTTATAAGTTCCATTCCTTTCATTTTGGAGTACAGTTGCTATATTAATAGGATAAGAATACCATCAGAAGTTAGACACCATTTTTATGATTCAGGTGCAGTTGTTTGGGGGTAGATTCCTTCATATAAAGTGTTGCTTGTCAAGAGACTTATAGTGTCTGATTGTCTTTTTATGACCTTAGCAATCATTGTTGACCAGTGCTTACCTCCTTAATTCATATGGCTTACAAATGGTAATTTTTCTTTTTCTCCTGTTCTGTTTTTGTTGGAATTCTACAAAAAACACTTTCTATTCCAGTTAAATGACCACTTTTTTACAGTATAGAAAAAGCAGTTTTCAGAATAGTTCATTCTCTAGGATCCTCAAAAGAGGACCAGTTGTGAGGAGAGGATGAATTGTTATGTATTTAACATTTGATTCATCTCACTCCTTTGCACTTACTGGTAATCAGATCATTCCTTCATCGACTAGCAGAAATCTCTTTAGGTTGAACCCTGAGTCATTTTAACACAAAACTAAGGGTCTTTTATAGCTTTCTTGCTCTCTGGAATGATTACCAGTTTCAGGCTYATTTTAAACTTTTCTCTCCTGAATCTGGAGCTAGCCATTTCCCCAAGGAGCTGTGTTACTCTTAAAAGGCAATGCTTTTTCAAGAGCACCACAAAAATAAGGATGTTTATTGTTACTGGCTTGCTGGTTGTTTTTAAGGCTTTTTAGTGGACAGAACTAGGTACAAATATGTTTGTTAAGATACAGTACGTCTGACGAGTTCACACAGATTTCTAGCTCAGATTTGGAACTGCAGAGATTGTCTTAACCCCTTCTATCATAACCTGCTACTTTTTTTTTTACAGCAAGAATCCTGGTATTCAAAGATATCAGGGATGCCAAATATTTTAGACTCATTTACTTCATACCATATTACACAGAAAATAAGAGTCCCAATAATGATATCATCCCTACCACCAAAATAATTACTGAAAATAGTTGAGCTTGCTGTGTGTATGTGTGCACGCATGTAGGTATTGCAGTACTATGGATTGAATCGAGAGCCTCTTGCCTGCTCGACAGGTTCTCACCCACTGAGCTACATGCCTGTGCCTTTTTAAAATTTTTTGTTTTGAGATAGTGTCTTGGTAAATTGCTGAGACTGGCCTGTAATTTCTGCTTCATCAACCTGAATAACTGGGATTACAGCCATCCCCCATTACACGTGCTTAATTAAACATTTTAAAAATGTTTTCCCATTCTCTTCCAGGTTATTTATTTATTTTTTTTTTAGTTGTACAAACCTACATTGTCAGAGACTATAATATACTATAGTCTCTCCCTTACATCTCTTTTTAAATTTAGTTCTCCCCTCATCCTGTGGGGAGATCAGTATCAGAATCCTCCACTGATACCAAAATCTACAATGCTTAAATCCCTTACATAAAATTGTGTGGCATTTGCTTATGAATTGTGCACATTCTTCCTTATACTTTACTTTTTTTTTTTTTCCTCGTGGTTCTGGGGATTGAACCCAGGACTTTGTGCATGCTAGGCAAGACTCAACCAACTGAGCTATTTTCCTAGCCCCTTCCTTATACTTTAAATAATCTCTAGATTACTCGTTAACAATATAATACAATGCTGTGTAAATAGTTAACACTGTTTTTTATTTAGGGAATAAAGATACCCCCCCCMAAAAAAAAAATCTTTACATATTTAGTACAGTTGTTTTTTTCTTGAATATCTTTGATCCAAGGTCAGTGGAATTTAGGTGGGCAACCCATGAATAGGGAAGACCAACTATATGTATTTAACATTTATCACCAGTTTTGTTGATGCCTCTCCAATTTTGACTAATGCTTTTTCTCTAGTGGGTTGCTAAGGAAGGATTCCTGGATATTTTATAGGTTCTGTTTTGTTTTGTTTTTTAACCTGTCACAGTTTATCTACTTTATAAAACAAAACAAAACAAACAAAACCCCTTAGAAGTCAGTTAGGCCGGGCATCAAATTTTTGGCTAACATTTGCTTTTCTTTTGAACAACTTGAATTATGTTACTTCATTTCTCAGCTTCATTGTTTCATTTCCTTTTGACATTACAAATTGCTGTCAAATAGACATCTTATTTTGTTCCTTTATAAGTCTGTTATTCTCTTTGCCTATATTACTTAAATATTTTTTTTCTTTTCTTGAAATAACATTAACTTCACACTGACTTCTTGTGATGGGTCACAGCTACAATGCACGCAAGCTAAAAATAGTGCATAAAATTGTCTTTAGGCTATAGATGTAAGGTGTATGTGAAACATTAATGAATTTTGCCTTTAGACTCTATTTCATTCCCAGGATACCTCATTATGTATGTGCAAATACTCTAAAATCTGAAACAAGACTTAACATCCCAGCATTTACAATAAAGGATGCTCAACCTATATTAACCACTCTAGGTAATAAAGAGGCTTATCTTCTGATTCTTTCCCCTGATTAAATTTTAGTAAATTATTAACTTTAGTAAGTAGAAATATGTATGTAATATTTCTAGATGTGTAGTATTAATTGCAAATTTATAGATAATTATGAAAATACTTGCAAAATAAAGCCTTTTCAATATAATTTGAAGGTATTTTGGGGATAGTTTGATAACTTTTAGAAAGTGAATGCTATGTGGTGTTGTAATATAGATTATTGTGCTTTAAAAATAACAGATTTCAGGGCTGTGGTTGTGTCTCAGTGGTAGAGTGCTTTCCTCACATGTGTGAGGCACTGGGGTCAATCCTCAGCACCATATTAAAAGATAAAATGAAGATATTGTGTCCATTTATAACTAAATGTTTTTTAATTCTAAAGTCAGATTTTATTTTTATTTTTGTACATGATATTTATTTGTGGCTTTTTTAGTTTAAAAGTTATAGGAATATTTTAGAAAGCTGCTTTATAAAATATCAATCTTATTAAAATATAGTGATGACTCTTCTTAGGATTTGATACATGAAAACATAGTATATGTGTGCAGTTTGTTTTCACTTTTCAACTTTTTATGGTTTTATAATGCTTATATACTGCTGTTTTCAAATTTAGGTTAAATGTGCACAGTACTGGCCAACAGATGACCGAGAGATGCTGTTTAAAGAAACAGGATTTAGTGTGAAGCTTTTGTCTGAAGATGTGAAGTCTTATTATACAGTACATCTGCTACAATTAGAAAATATCAAT